ACTCCTGACGAAGTTCGATAGTCGATCGATAGATGTCGATTATTTTGCGTACATTTAAAAGTGCGAAGTCCAGTCTTGCCAACTTTCATGAATTGTCACTAGTGATCACTGGACGCGAGCCGAGCGGTCGTGCTCCAAAAAATTGCTCGGTTAAACGAAATTGTTAACTAGATATGGGAAATAGGTAGTTCTATTTGGTAGAGAGAATTAAATCATTCGGTTTCCTCAATCAGATTACTTGGTTACTTTCATAACCGGTATCCGGTTTCATATCCAGTCTTTTCAACCAAATTTCAGGATTTCGGCTGTTAAAACCGAATACCTAGTTTGGTTGAAAAGACTGGATATGAAACCGGATATCGGTTATGAAAGTCGAAACACACGTGATTTTAATTTACCAGGTTGTGGACTTCAAGGTGCATTTTATTTTTCACATTAAAATAACAGTATTTTACCACATTTTTCTTAGATTAAAAATTTCCTGACTTCAATTAATTTTTTGGGCGGTTGGGGGAGGCTTGATTTCTCATGAAAATTATTTAATTGAAAAGTTTCTCAATTTGAAAATATGCCATATTAAGGCTGGCAGGAAACATTTCAAGGTTCCTCAGCAAAGTTCCCTGCCTTTTCAGGGCTTGGCAAAATTTATTCTTGGACTCCACTCGGTTTCGCCTGTCTTTTCAAGGATATGTTACACTACTTGCATAATCCGTAAACACTTGTAAAAAATATGTCTAAAACAGCGCTAACGTTGGGCGGTTTTTATTTATAGTGATAAAAACAATAGCCGAGATTTGCGATTTCTGAAACGCGTTCCAGATTCGTGGCTTCCGAATTTCACAATCGGAATGCATGATTAGAATGCTTATTTGATGAGTCAAGATGTATAATGCGTTAATCAATGTAAAAAATAAATTTGGTTCTTTTCGGCCGGTCAGCAGATGAATACATCGGGAAGCAAAGCTCATTCGCGATAAGAAGAGACCGACCATTGATACCCCGCCTCTTTCATTGAATATTTTTCAATTCCGAAATTACGCCATTGATTTGGAAGCTCATTATTGCAAAACTAGCGATCAATCTGAGGTCAGAGGTGCGAGGTTAAGGGTGATTTTTATCGGAAATTCGTCACTAGATTTCTCATTGGACAAAGCGCATGAATGAAATCATAAGGAAAATATATGATTTTAAAATCACACCATGACCAAATACGGATGTAATTTCTCTCTAGGTCAAGAGACATACATCATTTTAAGTCATGGCTAACTTGACATTTATCTAAATTCGATAGCGGTGCTTGAAAACTTCCGGTCCTACATAATTTTTTTGACAGGAAATAAAGGCAGCTTCCTCGGTGGAAATTTTTGCACGATATTTTTCAAATCGAGGAAGAGTCTTCGAAATTTAAAAAAAAAATTGGGTCAATTTTTCTATTTAAAGAAAAGAAAAGAGTCAGCAATAGAACAGTTGCTGCCTTCCCGTGTTTGTTGATTTCACGCAAGATTTTCATAAGTTTTTTTTTCTTTTCTTCTCTTTCTGGCTCCCCCTTCTTAAACATAATTTGTTTTCATTCTTCTTGCGCATAAATTCAATGATGACCGATCGATGATTGAATATGAATTATATTCATTTGGGTTTCATCATTGTAGTTAACATTTTCTAGAAACTGGGGAGCTTAATGTATCAGGATGAAAAAAAAACCAATTTATCAAAGGATAGTTGTTATCATATCCGAAAAAAACACGAGATAAAACTTGCGTGACGCGATGTCTGTTATGACTCTTCATTCTCAGTCTCCATTGTGACAGCCGTGAGTCATTAAAATAAAAACAAGATATCTCTTGACGAATAATTTGAATTGAGGGCATCACGGACGAAAATTCTGAGCGATCATTTCCTAATTTTGAGAAAAACACTCTAAAAATTGCGTGAAAATTCACGACACAACAAACTTTGAACTCGATTCTACTCTTCATGTTTACGGTCAAATTACCGACCGATACAATCGCTGCTTTTGTTACAAATTTAAAGCACGACGTGATATTTAATTCAGAGAATAAGCTTAGCTTTAAAAATTGTACTCTTACAAAAAAGCACAAAAATATGCGAGATTAATGACGGAAAAAGAAATATTATTTTGGAGGAATATAAAAGTAATACGTGCGGATGACATGATTTTTTAGGAAATTCACAAATCGACCACCTAATTTTTTTTAAAAAAATGTCCTTTTATCAACCCTGACACTCTGACAGTAATTCAGTGTAATATCTTTCATAGAACAATGGAGATTCTACTGTGCGTGTTTACGGTTACATTGTCCTCATCTACTAATAATTGCTGATTTTGCTACAATTTTAGCAGCACGACGAGGCAGCGGTTAATTTATTATAATTTCCCTGAACTCGCACAAGGAGGATTCACGATATAAGACCAACGTTTTGCCTGGCAAAAAACTAGGCCTTTCTTCCCTCGACACAGTATTTACTTTTCTGGCGCTGAATCCTATTTAGGGGTGGCATGGCGTATCGACGTGGGCTAGTCGCCGCAGAGAGGAGGGGGTGAAAGCGTGCTTCTTCTCCTGTAGAGATTAACCTAGAAAATGCGACCGACGGCTGCCAGATCGCGGCACAATATCTTCGAGTGAGATAGGACTATTTTTACACACACGCCGAGAAGAGAACGCCCGCAGCGCATCCTTTTCCTGAAGTCCTGTCTCCTATTGCCATTTCGAATGAGGAGTAGGTATGAGTTAAATCGATACGGTCAACTTCTGAAGTGGCGGGGAGAGCCCTTAAATCGTTGTTCCTCTCGCGAAAGAACTAGAAAGAACGGAACTGTATTTCAATCTTGCCAAATTTCCCCGCGAAAATTGTATTTTAAACTGCAAAATTTTGGGAACTTCTACCTGAAAATTTCACCGATTTTCTTTCTGATCTTATGCAAAAATAAATAAAAAAAACGTTCATCACGAATTACGTGGGTGCAACCCTTAAATCGTTGTCCCTCTCGCGAAAGGACTAAAAAAGCGGAACTGCATTTAATTTTTGCCAAATTTCCCCGCGAAAATTGTATTCTAACCTACAAAATTCTGGGAACTTCTACCAGAAAATTTCATCGATTTTCTTTCTGATCTCATGCAAAAATAAAAAAAAAAAATGAAATGTTCATCACAAGGTGCATCCTTGTAAAAAATTGAATCGTTTGTGTCAATTTTGCATCATAGAAATGGAGTTACGTTCTTTCGTCCGCGGAACAACGAAGTGAGACCGTCCACGAAAAACCGGACCATCGACTACGGAAATAATAATTAATAAATTAATAGATGTTACGATTTTTGCCCAAATAGACGCTATTTACGTCAAGCCAGAGAAAAGCGGTATTTATCGATCTGTTCTCGTTGGTAACATTGAAAGAGGTTATGTTATTGTTATTGTTCGGAACTAACTCAATATAATGGAGAATCCCAACGGTGACGACATCTCTGATAGTGTCGATTGGGTAAAAACATCGGATTTTGAGATTCTAGAGATATAATCTCCCTACTGTCTGAAATAATAGGTTGTTAGCGGTTTAATGCATTTTTGTAACAAGAAGGTCTCAGGTTTCATTACAATCCGTGAATACCTAACTTAAACACGTCAGATTAGAAATTCAAACGACTCTTTTCTCTAGCTGAGTATTTTGGACTGCGAGCTTTAAACCGTCGAGATGCCGGTTTGGTTTGAAATTTTTGCGCGTTCTTTGTGCCGAAAATGTTTGTAGAACACTCCACTGTGCTATTATTTTAAAAAATTAAATATGATTGAAAAATCCCCGATGTCATAGTAACATTAGTCATGGTTGCAAGTTTAATAAAATTTGAAAATTCCTGACTTTAATCGGTTCGTAACCAACTACCAATGATAAGAAAATAGGTACTCTAAATTTTCCGGAGCTTTACCGAAAAAGTTCACGACCACGTACGTCAAAAGTGTGTGAATATGATTTACTTGTTTTTTCCCTTGGTTTACAGAAAAATTTTTGACTACGCCTGACGATATCCTTTTATTTTTTTTTTTTTACGTGTCAGGAGAAAAAGCAAAAACCAGATATAGCAACAGGGTGCGATTTCTGCTAGGACACTACAGCGGTATACTCTTTGAGAACATTTATTACTGCAGTTCATTTCAATGCCTTGATGTTCTTTACGATTCATCTGTGTCACGAAAGTTGATGCAGTTTTTTTTTTAAGATCAAACGCGTTTTCCTCGCAATTGAAAATATGTCACTATAATGGCACCTAGCTATCTCTCGTCATAATCTTCAATTAAGGGGGGGGGGGTATGGTTACTATCCCCTCCCTCTTTCAAGCCCTCGAACATTATTGGGGAATTTTTTCCGATTTTAGTGGATTTTTGGATGCATTTCGAAGCTCCCCCTTCCTTCGAAAAAACTCGCCCTCTCCCTGCCCTCAAGTTCAACTTCTGGGGAAAAGTTTGCATAATTTTTTCACTTTCCGATTCCTTGACTTTTCCTGACTTTTTTTGCTTTTCCTTGCCTTCAAAATTGTCAAATTCTTTAGCTTTTACTGACCTTCGAACAAAACGACTACCTCTCAGTGATAACCTCACTTTTTGTTATCACGAAATAGGGGTCTAGATATTTTGATTTTTACAATTTCTTAGATTGGTGTTTTTGTTTCCTGGTCGAGGAGGGGGTTGAAACCACCCCGAAACGTTTCAGGTTTTGTGTTCTGTTGTTTTTTAGCCTCGCTTACTCGTTTCCTTGCGTTTTTAAGTTACTTCTACTTAGATGTGTTTATTTTATTCACGCTGCCTTCTGCTAGAAACTGGTCGCGAAAATCTCTAAATTTAACTAGGAATTCCCTGACTTTTCTAGGTTGCCATAATTTTCTTAATTTTCCGGGTTTTCTGGACCACGGACAACCCTGTTGCGACGTTACTGATCTACGACAAATTTAACGGGTTTTTTTGTGTGAAGGATGAAAGTGTGGACGTACCTGTATGGCTGCGTGATTTTCCTTATCGAGGAGGAACTCCATGGACTTGGCGCGGGAGTCGACATTGTTGGCGAGGTAGTTGGCGTCGGGGTTGATGTTGCACACGGGCCGGAGGGTGGTCATGTCGTGAGGGCCCTCGAGGTTCAGGAGGCTGCGGGCCTTCTTGCTCGGCGCACCATGCTTACTGGAGGTCACGTTCGAGTCCAAATCCGTCTCCAGGAGCCCGACCCGCGACGTTGGATCGATAGAGCCGACATTAGACATGGTACTGACGGCGGCGCCCGAGCCCGCGCCCGACAACCCCACATCCCCGCACTCGGGGCGCCGACGCGGAGGCGACCTTTTCACCCCCTGCGCCCCCTGCGACGAGCCCACCCCGACCGTCCGCGGCGGTAACTTGGGGAGCGGCGGCTTGCTCGACACCACCGCCTCCGGCTCGGACGCACCGGTTCCGGCATCGTGGAGCGGTATGACCAGAACCTCCGCACTTTTCACAGCACTATCCGAATTGTTATTATTATTGAGATTGAGATTGTGAGTATCCTCAGCGCGCACTTTGGGATGTTCTTCCTTGCGCGGTTTCCGACGGCGGAAGGAGAAGCGCTGGAAGAAGCCGCCGAGCTTGTTGGACTTGCGCTTGGAGACCGGTTCGTCCATGGTTCGGGCGGAGACTGGCGCGGCGCTGGCGGGAGCCGAGTGAGCGCGGACGGGCCCCGCCACGTGACTGCCAGCGTGGGCTCCCACCGCCGCCGTCGCCGCCGGGGCGGAGGGCAAGGGCGAGCCGCGGTCGTGCATGTGCAAGTTGCCGCCGATTATGTTCTGTTTGATGTACTCCTGCATCATCTTGGCGCGCTCCGAGTTGCGCCGCTCCATGATCTCCCTCCGCGGCTCCCCGGCGTTCCCGCTCGACAGGAGCTTCTCGACGAGGGCGTCCAGCTCCGGCGACGACGACGAGTCCTTCTCCGGGCTGGACCCCGAGGAACCCGACCCGTTGAGCTCCGAGTACTCGTTGTCCTCGCTCTCGTACTCCCCGCCGGAGCTCTCCTCGTCCGAGGAGTACGTCTCCTGCCAGCTCACTTCCGAGACGATCGGGCAGAAGTGGACGCCTTTGTTGGAGCCGTTCGTCGTCGAGCTGAGGTTCACGAAGCTCGTCGTGATTTGGATGTTGCTCCCGCTGGACTTCGAGTTCTTCTTGTTGAGCTTCGACTCGGAGAAGTTGGTGGCCATCTTCTTGAGCGAATACGACCGCGAGAGGTACTCATCTTCCTGCAGCAGCTGCGTCTTGTGCTCTTGGATCTGGGCGAACTCCTCGTCGGTGATGAGGTTGTGGAGGTTCGGGGTCGACACGACGGGCAGTCGGGAGGCCATTTTGAAGGAGTCGTTCCGGACGACTCTCGGCCGCGTGGGGACTGGGGCGGTGGGTAAAGGCGGCGGCTCGCGTTTGGGTTCCGGCCGGATCACCGCTTCATCTTTTTCACTGGCACTGAACTCACTCAACAAGCTGCGGTTGACTTTGGAGGGTTTCGGGGCGCACGACACCGGCGACGCACAGCTCACTACTGAGGCGGCCGGCTCGACGTCGCCGTCGGCTGCGGTTCCGCTTTGCCAAGAGCTATTTATAGCCGCGGGGCCTTCCTCTCCCCGAGGAATTTCCTCTCCGCCTTTTGCTAATTTTAGCTTCTCCGCGCCCGCCGCCGCCGCCGCCGGTCGCGTGCCCTCGTCGGGCGGCCTGGGCAGGACAGGGCGCGGGGAGTACTGGAAGTCCGCCTCGTCTTCGGGGATCGGGAAGACGGCGCTGGAGCTGCTCGTGCGCCGCAGCTGCAACAGACTGCTCACCGAGCCCTTCAGGGCGTGCCCGTCGCCGAACCCTGAATCCTCTGACAGGTTCTCGGCCGATCTTTGGAGATACACCTTCGCCGCGTCGTCCTTACTCCTCTGGGCGCCCTGAATTTTCTCCGCCTCCTGCTCGACCTTCTTCTCGGGGTCTGTGTCTTTGTACTCCAGGCTGTCCCGTTTCTTCGCGTCCGTGCTGTCCAGCGACGACAGACAGTCCACCGTCTTGTAAAAGCTCCGCGACACCGGGATCACGGTCGACGCGGGTTCGTCCTCGAAGCTGTCCAGGAAGGCTTCGTTGAGGTTCAAGCTCTGGGATTTGTCGCTGAACCTCAAGGAATTGAGGGAGGCGAAATCGTTGGATTTCTCAGGAACACTGGGGCGATCCGGGACGAGGCTGTCGAAACTGCGGAAGGTCCTGAGGCTGGACGGTCCTCGCTGGACGGTGCTGCGGTCCGGCTGCGAGGAGATGGACTTGGAACAGCGGCTCAGGAGAGATGCTTCGTTCTCGGAGGAGGAGATCTCGCGGCTCGAGGTGGAGGAACACTGGGAGGAGAGCGAGGAGAGGTCCTCGTCGGGCTCTTTCGGGGGCTTGAAGGTGGTGAAGGTCCATTTGGGTTGGTCCAGGTAGAAGTGGGAGTTGAGCGAGGAGGAGGCGTGGAGGAACGGCTCCGACGTGGCCGAGGTCTTGAAGACGGTCTCGTAGTCGAGGCAGTGGCGCTCTAACGTCTCGAACTGGAGCAGGGATGACGATCGGGAGGGTTGCTCTTCGTCGTCGGCCTCGTCTTCCTCGTCGTGGACCCCAGGGTCCGTGTTATGGACCCCTCCGCCTCCGCCTCCACCTACACCACGCCGCCGACGCTTTTTCGGCACGGCCAGGTCGCGCTCGGATCCATTCCACACGGAGGTCGAGTCTGAAACAAACATGAAACACGGAATAAAATAATAGTAAAATACGGCTGATAAAACAGAGCAAGTACATTTGAATTAAGATTGGTATCGCTAAAAATGAATAAACTCAAATTTTCCCCATGTTATTAACTTTTCTGAGCGACGTTACGGCAGGTTCGCTGCGGTTGCGTTGTCACCGTTGAGGAGAGAAGGCAGCGGACCCTCCGAAACGTCGCTTGGACAAATAAACAATGTGAGGAAAGTTTGAGTTTTCTAATAATTAGCAATGCCGATTTCAATAAAAGACAGAACTATTCAAATGCACCGTTCATGTTCATTTTGACAGAGTTTAACAGAAACGCACCAAATACAGAGTCTCATTTAGGATAAAAGAATTTAGTTAAGAGTATTTTTGAATTCAATCAGTCGTTTTCCGTCAGTTAAAAATTTAGCCTAACTTTTTCCGACCTTCGAACAAGGCTTCGAATTGATCTTTTTTCACTCTTTTTACTTTTTAAAAATGCAGATTATTGATAAAATTCAGCAAAATTTTGAACCTTTTTCTCGATACGTTTCCATCAAATTTTAAGGGACAATTTAGTTTACCTTACATTTTGTCAACATTTTAGAATTTTCTGTATTGAGCTCGTATTTTAGTTCTCATAGAGGTAAATCAATACAATTCCATCCATGGATCCATTCCCAAAGTTTTTTTACTTTATTTTACACGAAGTTAGTTAAATAGTCATGATCAGTGCCGAATACTTGCTACTGGATCCCCGAGAGACTAGCCACTCCCACTTTACACAGGATTAACAGTCTCTGATCGTGTAAAATTAATCCACTTTCCCCAAAATTTCTGGATTTTTCATGACTTTCAAGTGAAAATTTAGACATCCCAGAAAAAAATCGCGTCGGAGGCAATTTTTTCACGTGATCACTGACGTTTTCCCCGGTTTTTCCTTGTGTTAAACAGGGTGTCTACTAAAATTCTATTATAGATTTTCCTAATACTCGTATTTTACTTTTACTTGAAATGTCCTGATGTTTTGCACGAACAAATTGATACTGGTTTGATTTTACAGACCAAAATTTTTAATGAATTGAAATATATTATTATATTTTATTTTTCCTGATTTTTCGTGACGACACCAAAGTTCCTGACATTTTCCAGTTTTTACTAACCCTGTTAAAAGAAACTTTCCTCCTACTGTCCGATCTTCATTTTTGCACGACACCCTATTTTTGGTCTTGGCGCGCTGCGCTGCTTGATTAATGTCAATTTTGCACTCTGAGGAAAAATAAAAATGACGCAAGCTCACGTCAGCTGTTACCTGCGATTGGCTTGTTGCCACCTCAAGCTCTACGTTTGTTTTCCCTAGAATGAAAAAACGGCAATTTTCATGATTATACGCCAAGGCCGAGACATCGCGAACAAAACCGCGAGCGTTTTATCAACCATGGTTCGTGATGTGGGAAAAGCATAGGTTCACTTGTTGGTGATCTCAGGAGTTCACTATTAAGGCTTATGAAGTGATTTTTTTGCCATCAGGAAAATATTGATCATTTAACTCTTCGCGGCCAGGAAAATTACAATTTGTTGCAATTGTGTCCAATTTGTTTTCCTCCGATCCAAAATGAGGCAGAAATTCAAGTGGACTTCGATAAATTTAGGGATGTTTGAAGGCGTCACGAACTCTTCGGGAGATTTCAAGAAAAACTTTAAAACTTTGTTTCCATGCTGCGTTTAATCAGAATTTTAGGAGTGAAAGTTGGCTCAAATTAATGTGTTTGAAGAAACTGATCATTCAACGACATCCTTTACAAGAATTTCTGGAGAGAAGTTGCTAACGCACAAATAAGGATACAAAAGAAGAATTATTCCGATTTCTAGAACGACGAGAGATCATGGATAGGTCACTCTTGAAGTATAAACAGTTGGAAGATTTCATAATTCTGGCAGGTTAGTTTTCAAAGTTACCTTTCATCATTTTTGGAACGGTAAAAGAAAAATAGGTACTAAAATACTTGAAATTAGAAACAACTACTCAGCTGTAAGTACACTCCGCGCCGGGAGGGTACATTCGCAGGTTACGGAGAAATAAACGCACTGGGCACGTCGAGGAGTATAAAACGCCTTCAACTGTTCACCCGGCAACTTTACCTACTTCCCATAGCGGGGAGTAAAGCGAGTCAATCCGAGCCCATCCACAAACGGCGTTTTGAAGAACTCTCCGTCAGGTTTTCATCGCCATGGGTCGAGTATTACATATTCGAATTTCCAGAATTTGTTCTAATTTTTTACAGTTGACACTAGGGTGGGTCCAAAAACGGCCCTTCAGATACTCCTAGGTACATATTCGATTCTTGATTAATCCCGTCTTTTCCCGGTCCTTGACACCGCACCATGCCTGAGAGTAAAATTAATAGAATAGTGATGGAAAACATGAACTTACCGAAATGATTAGGAACATGTATAACTGAGTGAGCATCGCTGTCACTGTCCGGCCAGCCTACTGGGCCTACTGAATAATCGCTCTCGCTGCGCAAATCGTCCGAGGTCTCTTCTACGATCGTTTCCAAGAAAAGAAATGTACCACCACCACTTCCGCATCCATGATCATCTGGAACAAAAATTCAATTCAACTCAATTTAATTTGATTTCTTGGATTAAACAGTTCTTGGTCGGAAAGTAAATTCAGTGAAGTAGAAAAACTTACTCTAAATTATTTACAGATTTTCTCCATTTTCCAATTTTATGACTTTTCCTACATTTTTTTTGGCTTTTCCTTGCCTTTAAAATTTTGAATGTTCCTAGTTTTTTTTATGGACTTTTAACAAAATTTCTTCTTGATTTTTTTTTAAAATGGTTTTTCCTTTCCAAAAATGCTGATTATCAAATTATGGAAGAATTTTCCAGTTTAAGAAATTCAAATTATAGTTCTTCTCAGAATGGCACAGTTGTAAATAACTGGGCACTGCTCGCGAAATTTTCTGGCTTTTTCCACCCATCCTGTTTCCGTAGATCCACATCCCTCAAAACCCTGAAAAAAAAAAAAAAAAAAAAAAAAAAAAAAAAAACACTCGAAAGTCTTATAACACAGGAAGGGTGTATTTCATGAAATACTGATCACGAAATTATACTTCAATATTTACGAAAAACATCCTCCTTTTAAGAACATGTTGAGTGAGAACGAACATCATCGTGCCGTGACAGACGACACAAGTCTTCAAAGCTCCTTACATACTGAGAGATAACTATTCGAACATGACGGTCGTGCGGGTTGCATGAACATCCTGTTGAAGGAGTTTTTTCTTCGCACGCGCTAGAGACGAGGCCCTCCTCAGGAATTCTTGTGCCTTGCCCCTTGACTGCATTTGATTTCGAAAAACACTTTCCTCTTATTTTGCGACGCTACACATATCCCGTCTCGGGTTCATTATCAAAACGGAAATTTTAATCATCGCGTTCTTGAAAATTCCCGGGATTATTCTTCATACCATGAAGAATATTATATGGTGAGGACTATCATTAAAATCAGTTTGTTTTGCTTTAGAGAAAAATACTCAGAATATCGGTTCGATAGGGACAGTATCTATACTCTTCCGTCTGATAAGCGAAAATGCATACGTAAATTCGGAAATTGCCGATTTTTTGTGGGGGAAAATATAATATCTCCTAGAAACAAGGAGAGCTTTTTTTCGAATTTTTCAGGGAATTTTTTTCGCAATTTGATTTACCGAGTCTCGAAAGGGAAATAGAAACCATTTTTTTTTCCAGAAATGAATATTTTTTGGGAGACTGGCAACAATACTCATTCAACGTTCCTTCACTACTTATGTAGGAACTATCAGCTGTACTTTTGGTATTTTTGGCGAGATATTCCACACCCTCCGATGGTAAGGGGGCCAGAACCCTGTAACGAAATGACGTAGGCACGCCTATGCCTTTTTCCTGACTTTACGAGTAAACATTCCCCAAGTATTTTCGTCGTCCCACTTTCAAGGCTCATCACACATGACTGTAATATCTGTGAGAAGAATTATGACGATACTGCAGAGCTATTTTTGAAACTCGATCTCAAGCTTGTCGAATAGCTTTGATCGACAAGTAACATTACAAGACACGGCTTTGTCGATGAAAGTCCCTCGATAAAGGCGGGATAGAGTTTCAGTCGTGAACCCGCTGGAGATTAGTGCTGCATTCCGCTACTGCACTGCCGCGAGCTTCACGGTTGCGGTAGTTTGCGGACGTGATCCGTTGCCGGTGAAACAGTGGCGCTATCTCTGAAGCAGTTGAGGAACTTCGAGTGATGAAAGCTCATACGGTGGCGGGTGGCGCTCCCACTAGACATTTCGTCCGCGGCCATCCACGAGAAAAGAGACCTTACTAGTTAAAAGCACAAGTTCCCCAAAGCGTTTTGACAGTGGACAATAAGCGCAAAATTAAACAAACCAAAAACGCTTAAAACACAAGTGGTCATCTAAAACCCAAACGTGAAAACCGACCTAGCAAACCTAGCCTTGCGTTAGGTTAGGTTAGGTTAGGCCAAATATTGACCACTAAATTCCTTCTTTCTTTCCTGTACCTCTCTGACACTCCAAAGCTATACCACCAAACGCACAGAAAAGGCATCATATAAAAGCGCAAATTGACGATTTGCGCTTTTGGATGTCTTCGGGTCAAAGGCATCACAATTTTCTATACCATGAAATTAAGTTCGTTTATTGGAGAGAAAGTTCCTTCATTATGATGGAAAATGTTCAGCACACACGATTTAAGTAGGATTCTTAAGTATAAGTTCAGTGCAAATGCTGATTTAGACCTGAAAACCCAGGCGGGCATCCCATAAGCAGGTACTTATAGGTTGCTATTTTGAAGATTTACCATTTCATAATATGCACATTATTCAATGAGTTTTGATTTAATTTGATATCATGGTGTTCAGAATTCTTAAGCATGCTCATTTCTGGTTTCCATCTTGATTTTCGGGATCTCGTTCTCTGATAAATACCAAAGTTTCCTCCCACTTCCCCGGAATGCTTGGGGGAAAACTGTGTAATTACGGAGTAATGAATTACTTGTGAATTACTGTGTTATTCGGGAATTCTACCCTGGTAAAAATTGGCAGTAGAATCTGTGTTCCAAAATACCATAGACCTACGACCGGCTGTAAGATTTCCAATAGCTTCTATAGCCGGCTACACAATTTCTTATGGCCTTTTATAGCCGATGGCGATTAAGCAACATCCAGGCAGTAAAGTGTATGCTAAACGTTACTAATTACGGATGCTAGTACTTAGTGAGTTTTTGGAATACTGTTCTCTTTTTGGGTCGTAGTATCTTGATTTATTTTTCGAGGAAAGCTCCGTACTTTTGATGGATGCCTGCTATTCCTCAGTTTCGTATGATACTGTGCAATACCTCTGGTGTGAAATAGTTGCTTCAAGCGCCGTGGTACGCTGCGGTGCGGCAGGCGGGCAGCCAGCGCGAAAGGCGCATTGGCGCCTACAAACCTAACAGGGATACTTCACGCGTTGCGCAATGCGTGAAGTATCCCTGTTAGGTTTGTAGGCGCCAGTGCGTCGCCGCTCCGCTTTGTGTTAGGCTGCATAATTTGTTATCGCTTCGTGTAGTCCGGCCGTATGACTTTCTCCGCATTCTACAGCCAGCTATATGATTTTCTGTAGCCTTCTTTAGCCGGCTGTAAGAATTCCTATGGTATTTTGAAACGCAGCTGTTATCGCCAATTTTTACCAGGGTAGATATGGTTATCGATTTTCTTTCATATTTTAGTCAATTCTCTGGCGCAATTTCAAAATGTAATTCAGCGAGCGTTCCTGCTGTTTATACATATTATCCAGTCAATGAAAGCTTTTCTAAGTATTATTTTGACGATTTGAAGATTCACATACGCCATTCATGAGGTCAATTATGGCGGCTTGGGCTCACGTTCAATAACATGAACTCCAAGCTATAGAAGATGATATTCCTACTTTCCGAAATACGTTCCCTAATTTATCCCTGATTTCCCCCAAAATTTTAGTTCCGTGATAAAGTCCGGACTTTCCTAGTCTGTTCTAGGCGCCGCGTTCGATAGGCGTTCATAGAATTCCCGAATTACACTGTGATTCACAAGAAGGTAATTCATTATTCTGTAACTTCACAGTTTTTCTCCGAGCAAATCCGGGGAAGTGGGAGAAAACTTCAGGATTTTATCAGAAAAAGAGACTCCAGAAATTTCGAAAATTAGAGAAACTTTAATTGACTGGATAACATGCATAAATATTAGGAACGCTCATGGAATTAAAATTTGCACGTGAGCCAAAGAATCGACTAAATGATGAAAAACTGAAGAATCTACTGCCGTGCTAAGAAAGAACGCCGTATGAACATTCGAGAGTTGCCAAATTTCCATCAGTAAAATTTTGAATATTTTTCCTTGAAATTTTCAGGGACTTTGGATGAAATTGCGAACAACACGAAAAAGTGGACGGAAAAATTCATAAATTTACTCGGAAATTAGTGTTCCTTCAACAGGAACCTGGCAATGTCTGAAGGTTCATACGGCGTTTTCCCTCAGCACTGCAGTCAGAGGCTCAGAAGTAGAGTACCTATATTGAGAGAGTATGGCCACTGGGCCCCATGGAGAGGCTTAGGACCCAAAAATGGCGGTGTTTTGTTTTGCTTTTGTGGATGGGAGTGGGGTCATTGCCAACTTTTGACGGTTATCACCAACCGCACTTGCTGCCAACCTTACTACATCTAAGATAATTTTTCTCGAAAATTGCACACGATTAGCCTTAAAAATATGTAAAGAGTCGCAATAGTGCATTTGAGCAAATTTCTCGTTACGATAAGCAAAACAAAACTACATTTTGCGCCATTTTGCATTATATTAATTCATGACGTTCGCCATTTTTAGGTCCTAAGGGCTCCATTCAGCCTCAGATGGCTGAGTCAATCAGAGGTGGTAACACCAGTTGCCATACTCTCTCAATATATTACTCTAGTCAGAGGCTGTGGCGTGGCGCGGCGGCGTTTTTCCACGGAATGATGGACGGTATTCAAGGCTCCAGGATGGAACAGCTGAGAGGCAGCTTCCCAGCAATGAGAGGAGTAGGAATAGCGGATCGTAGGTCACGGCATGGCCGCATCCGCGTCCGTCGCGGCCGTGGTAACTGGATCCGCGCTCCGCGCTGACGGCGGCGACCGTGAAAACTTTTACGGGTCCCGGTAGTATCACCGATTCACCGAGTCAGTCAGACACCAGAACCAGACAGGAATGAAAGCAGTTTCCCAAACCCGCCGACACCACTGGATCAAGGGCTGCTTAAAAACTGAGGTCTAGAATTCTTTATCATACTAATTTCCTAATTTCACCCAAATTTTCAAGACATACTGTAAAATAAAGTCTCTAGGGGGTTATAGAACATTTCGTCAACGATTTTTTGTCCGCACACCTTTTTTTCCCAGTAATTTACGTCTACGCGTTTTTTCGGCACGGGGGTTTTGGTCCACGTGCCAGTTGATATTAAAAGTTAATGGCCCACATGTAAATACAAACGACAATTGCTCACGACGTTTTTATAGATGAAAACGTATTATGTCTTGGAAGAATGA